TTTTGGTACCAAATCACATTCATATACAATCTCGAATTAAGCTTATATGACCCTGGCTGACTCCTATCACTATTGCTCAGCCTATGACCCTGGCTGACTCGTGTCACAGTGCTGATTCGGAAATACACCAATCCATGTCCTCACCTGTCCGATGACGCTGAATAAATATATGTACACTATGTTCTGGGGCAGAAGTTGTCGGATTCAGCAGCATTAAAATGCAAGAGTGTATCGTAGAAGCCATAATCATCTTCCGAAGTGCCCAAAATGTTTATGTTGCCTCAACTTTAAAATATTAGGCTTGTCATTATGACTTAATAATTCCCAGATGACACCATTTATTTGTGGTTTTAAATCTCACATGTCTTGGCAACGAGACTAACTGTCCTCTCCGCCTAGCAGTGTTCGGCTAGCAGTGTCCGGCTAGCAGTGTCCGGCTAGCAGTGTCCGGCTAGCACACTTATCACCTTTGGAAGTCTTCAGAACCTTGCAATAATCCCATTTTCAATTTTCGAGAAATTATACCTTGCCTGACACCATTGAATTAGATGTCAAATGAAGGAATGACGGACGTGACATCAATCTCGCGTTGATCATTATCTTTTCTCCTCTTTGAAAACTAAATTTTTGCAGAAAAGAAATATAGAAATATATATTTCTACAAAAATAATTATATCGTAAATAAAATCTTCGCAAACAGTTTATTAATGATGGCAAGATATCGCGTACAAGTCTTCAAGGACTTTAACATCACGCAACCTGGTCAACACTTGACACCATGTAATGTGAAAAGCCACAGGAGCCGCTATGAAGATTCGAACCTATGCTCTGGGTATTCCCAGACGCACGCTGTAGATGACTAGGCCACCACATGACAAAATAGAATTGCGGTCTCACTGATAAATATCACGTTATTGTGATTTCATTGTGTACTGTGTTGCTCACACTTCACATGGCTCTGATGTATAGTTTGGACGAATAATTATATGCAAAAAACGACAGGAAGACAAACTTTATAAAGTACAGAGAACAGTAAGTAAACTAATACGACCTTTTAAGAAATAAACCTTCGGAAGGCGACTCTCAGATCATATCGAAACCCTTTTAAGGTCCTGAAGAAATCTGATAAACTTAAACCAAGAGGAACTCTCAGAGAGGCAAACAGATCCAGCAACAAAAAATAATAGCATGAAACAGAGGAAAAGCCGAGTCTCCTAACACCACAACATATTATCCGTTGATGTCGTTGGAAAAAATTCATTACAAACCATCAGCAAAGTACTGAATATTATTTTGTTTTTAATTTTAATGTAAATTTAACAAACTTGTGAAACTTTACACATAACTTTAGGACAAAATGCTGAAAGTTGTACCGGTATTGACGCGTAGTGTCTGTCTTGTCCTGAGCAAAATGACAACAGCAGCAGCAGGGACTACAGTATTATTATGACTGGGAGTAGCATGAATCTTGCTCTCTCTCTCTTCTGCACTCGTCTCTTGAAAATCATTCGACATTCTGCCTCCCATCATCACGCCCTAGACGTACCTGACCTCGGTCACGTGGGTATTGTAATAGGCTATTCTGATTTATTAATATTTGAATATTTTATGTCATTCTCTATGTTAAACGTTAGCATAATTAAGGCTTTCAGAACATTGTAGAATGTTCCATTGCATCACTACACGACTGAAGCAAAAGGAGGGGCACGCTAGACCTATCCTGCCCCAAGCACGCCAGCCCTATCCTGCTCCAAGCACCCCAGACCTATCCTGCCTCAAGCACGCCAGCCCTATCCTGCCTCAGGCACGCCAGCCCTATCCTGCCTCAGGCACGCCAGACCTATCCTGCCCCAGGCACGCCAGACCTATCCTGCCTCAAGCACGCCAGACCTATCCTGCCCCCAGGCACGCCAGACCTATCCTGCGGCTATCTGTTCCTCCTAGCCGGGCGTTTAATTACTCGAACATAAGGGAAGCAGTACAGCCACTCACACTACGTGACACTTGGCAAACAACCAGTGCCGGTTATTAAGGAATTAGCAGGAAAGGGCGTTAATTAAGCAATTACGACTATATAGCGTGTGAGAGACCCTTGCAGCTAGACTACAGGTCGAACGCGACAATGGATAAGCTTGGATAGAGCGTATCCATAAGCGATAGATAAGCACAGAGCTGTGTAGCCTAACACCACCACTATGCCAGAAAAGAGGTGGAAGAGTAAAAAATTCCCGTCAGTAGTCATCCAAGTTACCATTTATTGCAATGCAGTGCAGACTCTTAGGTTAGGGCCGGATAGTGTCAAAGGAGACACAGATACATAAATAAGTTACAGTCACGTGATGTATCCGTAAGAAAATGTTTTGGAGTTGGAAGGGGATCGAACCATAGCGTCTTGTGGTGACCACCCAGACACACGCACAACTTAACCCCCGCGGACCACGGTATGTTGAAGAGGATTTTCTAGATTTGTGTTGATTAAGTATTTCTTGTTTTCTCTGGATTCGGATTATGTAATACTCTGCACTTATAGGTCTCTCAAGTGCCTCTGCTGCACTCTAGCACAACAGGTGAGCTGCACAACAGGTAAGCTGCACCAGAGGCCAGCTGCACAACAGGGGAGCTGCACAATAGGCCAGCTGCACAACAGGGGAGCTGCACAACAGGGGAGCTGCACAACAGGCCAGCTGCACAACAGGCCAGCAGCACAATAGGCCAGCTGCACAACAGGCCAGCTGCACAATAGGACAGTTGCACAATAGGCCAGTTGCACAACAGGCCAGCAGCACAACAGGCCAGCAGCACAACAGGCCAGCTGCACAACAGGCCAGCAGCACAACAGGCCAGCAGCACAACAGGCCAGCTGCACAACAGGCCAGCTGCACAACAGGCCAGCTGCACAACAGGGGAGCTGCACAACAGGCCAGCTGCACAACAGGCCAGCTGCACAACAGACCAGCAGCACAACAGGGGAGCTGCACAACAGGCCAGCAGCACAACAGGCCAGCTGCACAACAGGCCAGCTGCACAACAGGCCAGCTGCACAACAGGCCAGCTGCACAACAGGCCAGCTGCACAACAGGCCAGCTGCACAACAGGCCAGCAGCACAACAGGCCAGCAGCACAACAGGCCAGCTGCACAACAGGCCAGCTGCACCAGAGGCCAGCAGCACAACAGGCCAGCTGCACAACAGGCCAGCAGCACAACAGGCCAGCTGCACAACAGGCCAGCAGCACAACAGGCCAGCTCCACAACAGGCCAGCTGCACAACAGGCCAGCAGCACAACAGGCCAGCTGCACAACAGGCCAGCAGCACAACAGGCCAGCTGCACAACAGGCCAGCAGCACAACAGGCAAGCTGCACAACAGGCCAGCAGCACAACAGGCCAGCAGCACAACAGGCCAGCAGCACAACAGGCCAGCAGCACAACAGGCCAGCTCCACAACAGGCCAGCAGCACAACAGGCCAGCAGCACAAAAGGCCAGCAGCACAACAGGCCAGCAGCACAACAGGCCAGCTGCACAACAGGCCAGCAGCACAACAGGCCAGCAAAACAACAGGCCAGCTGCACAACAGGCCAGCTGCACAACAGGCCAGCAGCCTAACAGGCCAGCAGCACAACAGGCCAGCTGCACAACAGGCCAGCAGCACAACAGGCCAGCTGCACAACAGGCCAGCAGCACAACAGGCCAGCAGCACAACAGGCCAGCAGCACAACAGGCCAGCTGCACAACAGGCAAGCTGCACCAGAGGCCAGCTGCACAACAGGCCAGCAGCACAACAGGCCAGCTGCACAACAGGCCAGCTGCACAACAGGCAAGCTGCACCAGAGGCCAGCAGCACAACAGGCCAGCAGCACAACAGGCCAGCTGCACAACAGGCCAGCTGCACAACAGGCAAGCTGCACCAGAGGCCAGCTGCACAACAGGCCAGCAGCACAACAGGCCAGCAGCACAACAGGCCAGCAGCACAACAGGCAAGCTGCACCAGAGGCCAGCTGCACAACAGGCCAGCAGCACAACAGGCCAGCAGCACAACAGGCCAGCTGCACAACAGGCCAGCAGCACAACAGGCCAGCTGCACAACAGGCCAGCTGCACAACAGGCCAGCTGCACAACAGGCCAGCAGCACAACAGGCCAGCAGCACAACAGGCCAGCTGCACAACAGGCCAGCTGCACAACAGGCCAGCTGCACAACAGGCCAACTCCACAACAGGGGAGCTGCACAACAGGCGAGTCTCTCGCAGTGTAGCTGTGAAAATAACCATCTTTGTTTACATTGATATTGAGGACTATTACGTCATAAAGATTTAGTAAACTGTACAAGACTTGTTCCGCGAGACTCACTAATTTAGAGAACGGAAATGTTGTGAATATTTTGTTGTTGATATTGACAATCAACATCCCACAACACTACAGACACAATTACTATCCCACAACCTACAACACTCCCCAGCAACTCTCAATAACAACCGCTGTATAATCTACAACATTCCTCCAACAGCCTACCCCCCTGTGACTCACTTCAACAACCCACAACACATCCCACAACTCTTCCACAGCCTACAATCCGTCCAACAATCAAGGGCACACAACCACAATCTATAACACAGCCACAACCATGGAACAATATTCCACAATCGGTTAACACTTATACGGAGTGATTGTTATATTTAAGAAGCTTGAGCGTTGCAAAATATATATATATATATATATATATATATATAATATATATATATATATATATATATATATATATTATATATATATAGATATATATAATATATAATATATATAAGATATATATATATATATATATATATATATTATATATATATATAATTATATATATTATATATATATATATATATAAATATATATATATAATATATATATATATATATATATATATATATATATATATATATATATATATACTTGCTATATACATTATAGATGCAAAACATGCAGGCAAAAAATACTTTTGTTAACAGATCTTACCTTAAGAACCCGTCTGGATCACTCTAAAACTGAAGCGATGATTCCTGTAAAATTTTGGAGCAAAAATGTTCACCAACATTTCATCTCTTGATGAATAACCTCACATCCTGCGGCACTGTGCCGGGGGAATAGAATGGTAATGAGTGACCAGCCACAGGGGGGGGGGGGCGAGTGACCAGACACCGGGGGGGCGAGTGACCAGACCACCAGGGGGAGGGAGTGACTAGTCCAAGGGGCGAGTGACCAGCCGAAGGGTGGGGGGGGGCGAGTGACTAGCCACAAGGGCGAGTGACTAACCACAGGGGGCGAGTGACCAGCCACAGAGGGCGAGTGACTAGTCACAGGGGGCGAGTGACTAGTCACAGGGGGCGAGTGACCCGCCACAAGGGGCGAGTGACCAGCCACCGGGGGGGGGGCGAGTGACCAGCCACAGGGGGGCCGAGTGACCAGCCACAAGGAGCGAGTGACCAGCCACCGGGGGGGGGGAGTGACCAGCCACCGGGGGGGGCGAGTGACCAGCCACAAGGGGCGAGTGACCAGCCACAGGGGGGCGAGTGACAAGCCACAGGGGGGCGAGTGACAAGCCACAGGGGGCGAGTGACCAGTCACAGGGGGCGAGTGACCAGCCACAGGGGGGCGAGTGACCAGCTACAGGGGGGCGAGTGACCAGCCACAGGTGGGCGAGTGACTAGTCACAGGGAGGGGCGAGTGACTAACCACAGGGAGGGGGGCGAGTGACCAGCCACAGGGGGGATGCGAGTGACCAGCCACAGGGGTGGCGAGTGACCAGCCACCGGGGGGGGGAATTGACCACCACCGGGGGGGGGAATTGACCAGCCACGGGGGAGGGGCGAGTGACCATCCACCGGGGGATGCCCCAGTGACCAGCCAAAGGGGTCGAGTGACCAGCCAAAGGGGGGCGAGTGACCAGCCAAAGGGGGGCGAGTGACCAGCCAAAGGGGGCGAGTGACTAACCACAGGGGGGGCGAGTGACGAGCCACAAGGGGGGGGGGCGAGTGACGAGCCAAAGGGGGGGGGCGAGTGACGAGCCACAAGGGGGGGCGAGTGACGAGCCACAGGGGACGAGTGACCAAGGAAAGGTTAAGGAGTTAGGGAACAGGAGCTCACAGCGACGTGACAGTTCACACTACACCACCTCACTATCGACTGACCAACCTGTGCTCGCCTCGGCCCCACCGACCTGTGAAGCCCCACGCTCCTCCCACCAGCCCCCCACGCTCCTCCCACCAGCCCCCCATGCTCCTCCCACCAATCACCACGCTCCTCCCACCAGCCCCCCATGCTCCTCCCACCAATCCCCAGGCTCCACCCACCAGCCCCCAGGCTCCACCCACCAATCACCACGCTCCTCCCACCAGCCCCCATGCTCCTCCCACCAATCCCCAGGCTCCACCCACCATCCCCCCACGCTCCTCCCACCAGCCCCCCACGCTCCTCCCACCAACCACCACGCTCCTCCCACCAGCCCACCATGCTCCTCCCACCAGCCCCCCACGCTCTTCCCACCAGCCCCCCACGCTCCTCCCACCAGCCCCCCACGCTCTTCCCACCAGCCCCCCACGCTCCCCCCCACCCCCCCCCCACGCTCCTCCTACCATCCCCCACGCTCTTCCACCAGCCCCCACGCTCTTCCCACCAGCCCCCACGCTCCTCCCACCAGCCCCCCACGCTCCTTCCACCAGCCCACCACGCTCCTCCCACCAGCCCACCATGCTCCTCCCACCAGCCCCCCACGCTCAGCCCACCAGGTTCCTCCCACCAGCCCACCACGCTCCTCCCACCAGCCCCCCACGCTCCTCCCATCACCCCCCACGCTCCTCCCACCAGCCCCACCATGCTCCTCCACCAGCCCCCCACGCTCAGCCCACCAGGTTTCCTCCCACCACCCTGTCACGCTCCTCCCACCAGCCCGCTCCACGCTCCTCCCACCAGCCCCCCCACGCTCCTCCCACCAGCCCACACGCTCCTCCCACCAGCCCACCACGCTCCTCCCACCATCCCACCACGCTCCTCCCACCAGCCCACCACGCTCCTCCCACCAGCCCCCCCACGCTCCTCCCACCACCCCCCCACGCTCCTCCCAGCAGCCCACCATGCTCCTCCCACCAACCATCACGCTCCTCCCACCAGCCTATCATGCTCCTTCCACCACGCTCCCCCACCAGCCCCCGGCTCCTCCCAGCCCACCATGCTCCTCCCACCACCCCCCTGTCATGCTCCTCCCACCAGCCCCCCACTCTCCTCCCACCAGCCCACCATGCTCCTCCCACCAGCCACCACGCTCCTCCCACCACCCCCCATGCTCCACCCACCAGCCCCCCCCCCCACTCCCCTCCCACCAGCCCCCCCATACTCCTCCCACCAAGCCCCCCTGTCATACTCCTCCCACCAGCCCCCCATGCTCCTCCCACCAGCCCACCAGGCTCCTGTTGGAAATTATCCAACACTAATACATCATTTTTGTATAATAATATATCATTATTGTATTAACCGTAGTAATTACTAACCCTACTAATTTGTAGAATTAATCCAATTTAATGTTTCTATTGTAAGGCAATATTTACCAGATTCTTCCTAGTCAGAATGACGACGTGAGGAACGACTTGCTAAAACATGAATTATCTCCACATTTATTTGAATCTAAACAGAGTCCAGTTAATTACTTTCCTTTATTAAGGATAATCGTTTATTTAATTTATATAATGCATCTTAATAAGCTAACTTGCATTGTGCAAAAATATATTGCACCTTAATACATTTATTAGTTACATCAGTACTTGTCACGAATCCCTACGTTCCCAATTAATTGCCAGTAAATGAAATACTTTAAGCTCGAGATCACTTTAAGTGCTCTGCGCATGCGTATCCGAGCGCGAGGGAAGAAGAATACGCCATACTTAGCAGCGTGAGCGCGACCACCTGCAGATCCACCTGATAAACTTTCGTCTAGGAGTTTGCTATTTAGCTGGCCCTTTTTCCGATATTCCCAATTGCGAGTGCCAGGGTGCAGGAGCGACTCCATTGACGGCTGGATATCGGCTCAAAGAGTGTAATGTAAAATCATCAAATTAAGGTTTGATTATTATACATACGTAACAAACTGGTAGGTTACTCGTCGTCAAGTGGCATGAAGACCTTAAAACCAAAGCCAGTTCAGATCTATTTACAGTCTCTTCTTTGCAATATCCCGTAATTTATATAGGGATATACATTGCATTAATATCTGTAGACAAATTCTGCAGTGATAAATATGTCCTTTAGGAAGAATTCCGTATTCTAGTATGTACCTATAGTTACTTAAGTATTAGATTTCTACAATGTAATTGCCTTCCAGCTCCCGGGTCCACGTCAAGCGAGGCACTAGGCTGTCCCGCCTTCACCTGCAACAATTTTGTCCGACGCAATACGTCATCAGTGGAGTGTGGCACCTGATTTCATCTCTCAGTTTACAGCTAAACTGTCTCCTTTAGTTGAATTAGATAATTAACAAATATAGATACTTTAATGATCTAATGAGATCAATATTACTAACCAATTATTTTAGTAATATTAGTCTATATTATTGTATCTTGAGGTGCATTCGCCTCTAATTACTATTACCTAATGCATTTAATATTCATTTACATTTATTTAATTCAGTGAACGAACCAGCACTGAAATAATGCTTGGGATATATTAATCTTTTTGCATGTTAAGCCCCCATTTTGGGTGAGAGGATTTGATTCATAATATACAGTCCCTTTAATATTGAATGTAATATTAATTAAAACATCCATAGGACACTAGTTCATGGAGTAAAATATTCAACCACTTGCTCAACCCTGTTTTCCACTTTTTCTCAAAAGGTGGTGGTCCTTAGTAAGCTATCGAAAATAGTATTAATTTAATTGATTTACATGAGTCAAGTTTTCCCCACACCATCCACCAACCCCCACGCTCCTCCCACCAGCCCCCACGCCCCTCCCACCAACCCCAACGCCCCTCCCACCAGCCCCAGGCTCCTCCCACCAGCCCCAGGCTCCTCCCACCAGCCCCACGCTCCTTCCACCAGCCCCACGCTCCTTCCACCAACCCCAACGCCCCTCCCACCAGCCCCACGCTCCTTCCACCAACCCCAACGCCCCTCCCACCAGCCCCCCACGCCCCTCCCACCAACCCCAACGCCCCCTCCCACCAGCCCCACGCCC